ACATACTACGTACACATCTAGTTACTATGTAAGTACACAGGTATTAGGGCCACTTAATATAAAGTGGGACCCTGTATTTACATTTATATTTACTAATTTTACTATCTAAAAGATGTCTGTATACGTTGAAAAGCAACTCCTTGATTCATAAGACTCAAATCGTGCTTTTGATATTTTTGAAGAGTGCTTTTGGAAAACACACTAGCACTAATTGAGATGCAGACCAGAAATGATACGTCGGATCCCCGGAGGCGTGTTATATGAGAGATATCATTCTTTAGAAGATGTAAGCTGACAAAAATGAGAAAATTCACCTCACTTTTGGATTTCTTTTTAAAATCATACACAATTTGACCAAACCTTTGTCTCAGATCTATTACTGGTTAAACAGGACCAACCAAGAACATTCAGGCATGGTGAAAGTAATTCTTATTGGCTCATCCACTGAAAAACGGCCACTCTATGTTCTGAAGGTACACTCGTTGTATTAAAGGGGTCCTATTATGCTTTTTCACTTTTTCAACTTTAGTTAGCCTGTAATGTTGCTGTTTGAGCATAAAAAAGATCTGCAAAGTTTCAAAGCTCAAAGTCCAATTCAAAAGGAGATATTTTATTGAACAGAAATCACTTTTCAAAAACTACAACGAATGACTCGTTTGGACTACAACGCATATTTTCCGGGATTTGTGATATCACAAAGATCGACGAATGGGTTGAGACCTGGTTGAGCTGCATTAGAGAAGGCAACGAGTGTTATCACTATGTCGGAGACGCGCTAGTTTTCACAAGGCAGACTAACTTAGAGTGGTTACAATCATCCGGGTTTAAATCGTGCTCAAATTGATTTAATTTTGACGCAATATTTACACTGAAGCTGCAGTGGTAAGGGGCATGTCATTTCCTGACCAGGCGCCGAGTGGTGCCAATCACATCACACACTGGCCCAGCTAACCAATCACAGCCCATTTCGTATTTCAGAAGGCGGGCCTTCATTTGATACAGGAACTATTCGAGCCGTTCATGC